ATTATTATTATTATTATTATTATTTCTAATCACATCATTGTTTTTGTTTGTTATCATTACTATTATCATCATTGTTATTACTATTATTATTCCCATTATTATTATTATTACCATTACCATCATTGCATCACATTTTGGATGATAGGCATCTTCCAACTCTGATACAGTACAGTATATACCTGGTGAGATGTCAGGGTGTCATAAACTAGTGCCGGTACAGTGTCAAGTTGCCACACCTCAGACCCTCCCCCCCCCCCCTCGAGTCACTGTATTAACAACCGGTACAAATTAGTTCAGGGTTTCAGAACACATCCCTGAGACCGACCCCTTAAATCTACCAATGTTGTTAGGTTGTACCCAGCAGTAAGGTCATCATGGGTCACCACTACCATACTCTCAAGCTTGACCGGTATTTACAGGGATTTAGGAGAGGAGAGGTTATGTTAGGGTTAGGTTAGGTTATGTTAGGGTTATGTTATGTTAGGGTTAGCTTATGTTAGGGTTTCCTGAAGGCGCTGTTTAACGTCTCTAGTAAATACGACCTCCAACGATTCTTTTTTTCCCCTCAAACACACTACTTCATCTTTCAGTTCTACAAGGACAACATCGCGCAGGAAAAACGTTAATATTCACCCCAGCAAAGCAAAATTACGCCCCAGTAGCATAAAATGCGCCCCAGAAACATACTAATTTATAAACCGTGTCAGAGGCAGCAGCATTGACCACTATCACCTGTACAGTAAGCTGGATACATCAACACTCGTCAAGCTGGACACATCAACACTCGCCAAGCTGGACACATCAACACTCGTCAAGCTGGACACATCAACACTCGCCAAGCTGGACACATCAACACTCGTCATCAGGTTGGAGGTGCAGGCGGGCGGCGGCGCGGGCATCATGGAGCGTGGCGGTCGGTCGCCGTCTCATTATTCGCCGCTGCGGCTAGTCACTTGGCGACCACAACAATGAGGCGGTGTTGCGTAAGAAGCGGTGGTTTAGGTACCTCCTCCCTCTGGCTCCTGATGTCAACACCAGCCACCCGACCTCGTACTAACCTGTGCCCGTAACTTATGTATTGTACACTCAGGGGTCAAAGGTTCACTCCCTCCAACACTGAAGCAGCATCGACCCTAAATGAGATAACACAACACCAGATGACAGTCAGGGTAAGTTAGGTGACTCAGTTTCACCACAGGGAGGAAACTTTTGTCCGTGAGTGTATGTCGCTCACCGATTATTGCACTGTACTAACAATATATTTTGTGAACTTAAACTTTCAGTGTCATACAAATTGTGTGTTAAATATGGCGGACGCTCCGAGGGTTCAGGATTCTCAGCAACGCATTAAGATAAAACTGGCGGCGTGGTCAGTGCTTCTGCTACACTGAGTGGCTGACCACCCAACACAACCGGTAGTTAGCTGCGCCTTAGGGTACCATAATTTAAGGAAATATAACAATTAAACTGAACTTAGGCCTAGGGCGCGGCCAAACACCCGTTTACCACAAGAATTTGACCTTCAGCTGTGACCTCGACCTGAGGCGAACTGCGGCCAAAATCTGAAGATTCTGACCGTCTAACCTATTAGAGTAAAGTATAGTTCACGAGAAACAAATTTATTATTACTATTATTATAATTATTATCCTATAACAATAATAATAATCATAGCTCTTATGTTATTATTACTACTACAATTATTGTTGTTACTATAATCATTATTAATATATTATTATTATTGTTACAGTACTATTATTATTATTATAATGGTGCCCTTGGCGCAAATTTGTATAAGGTGTAGAAGTTGTCGCCAACACAACAACCACACCCTAAGTTAACGAGCTGCATAACCCAGTGTCAAGGAATAGCCCGAAAAGACCGGACAACTCGCCAATTACTGCTGGGTAGATAAAAAATTGCCCACAGTTTCACCCATAACCGGGAATCGAACCAGGAACCACTCACTTGCGAGGCGAGCATGCTGACCATTCTTACATACGATTCAGAACCATGTACAGCAGCGATCACCCTCAACGTCACCAGTAAACGTGCAGATAGGTGAGGATGTGCGAGAGCTTCACATCACACCTGCATGGGTGATCACTACCCGGCCAAGTTTCCTTACAGAGGCTTGCCGCTCTTACTTCAGCCAGTGATGGTGAAGCACACAGCCTCAACTGCTATACTAAAAAACACCAAAAACACAAGAGATTTCCTAATAATTTTGAGCGTTGTGTAAACTTGAAGAATATAATGGCGAGTCATTCTTTTACTGGGTTAAGTGATTGTTACGATTGGTTAAGTCTATTGAAAGGCACAGTACACAGAAGACAACACAGTGACCTCACCCTCTTATCTTTAATCATTTACTACACGTAATAATCCCCACAAGGTGAGGTCTAGGCGCAGTTAGCCAGGTAGTAATTGAATTATAATGAGCCCGCCTAAGGAGCCCACACCTGTACGTAGCAAGTTTTAGATAATAACCACCACGTCTACTAAACTTGATACGATACGGAACTGACCGCTTCACATAGCTGGTGATGGTCGTGTTTAAAACTTGTGTTGTTGTGTATTCTTAATGAATATACTTTTAATAGAGCGTTATATTTCTTAATGCAGGTGCCGTCATCATCCACCGTCAAGCAAATTCCGATTTTCTGGTTACTCCCTCTGTCAGCGTACCTGTTTACCGTAGACAGACAAGAGCTGTCCATAATTATGATAACTTGAATTTATATAATACAGTATATCGTAAATTGTGCCTGATACATTGTTCTTGGCTAAAACTTCTATTGTGTCACAGTAACGACGAGGAAAAAGTTAAATGAGACACAAGTGAAAAACAAAGTCACCACCGAGATAATGATGATCGACGCCATTACAGCACCTCAAGGGACTGCCGTGTGTCACGTGAGGCCGCTGCTGCCAGGTCCGGTCTGAAACTTACACGTTCACCGGTGGTTTCGGGAGGCGGGTGTTATGCAGCACAAGGGTGAGACACACAGCTCAGTGGTAGCCGCTAACAAGGACAACCCCTAACAATAACGAGTCTTTGTGTCGTTTTAGCGTTAGTCAGATTTCGCGCCGATAACACCCTACAGGTGATGGAAGGCCCGATAACCATCTCCCGGTGGCTGGAAATCGTGAAGCCACTCTGCCGGTGAAGATGCACTAAGACGTTGCCCCTCGAACACCGAGGAAATTCAATATATTCTTTTGAGGACGGAGTGACCCTGGCGCCGCGCCCCCGGTGGATGAGGCCCGAGGAACAACAATGATGCATCGTAAATTCAGTGACTCAGACCTCTGTTGACCAAGGGGTTTCAAATGACGTACCGAGCGCTAACGATGTCGTCCATACTACCAAATCATTATGTCGACCCATCACCCGGGTCACAGTGCTGCCCCATCGGTAATAACAGCGCCGCGACTTGGACTTATTGGAGAGGATGTCGCCTTATCTCGTCCTGCAGGTAACAACAGAGCCGTCATGTCGTCTTACAGGTAACAACGGAACCGCCATGTCGTCCTTCAGGTAAAAACGGAACCGTCATGTCGTCCAACAGGTAACAACGGAGCCGTCATGTCGTCCAACAGATAACAACGGAGCCGTTGTCTTCCTACAGGTAACAACGGAGCCGTCATGTCGTCCAACAGGTAACAACGGAGCCGTTGTCTTCCTACAGGTAACAACGGAGCCGTCATGTCGTCCAACAGGTAACAACGGAGCCGTTGTCTTCCTACAGGTAACAACGGAACCGTCATGTCGTCCAACAGGTAACAACGGAGCCGTCATGTCGTCCAACAGGTAACAACGGAGCCGTTGTCTTCCTACAGGTAACAACGGAACCGTCATGTCGTCCTACAAGTAACAAAGGAGCCGTCATGTCGTCCTACAGGTAACAAAGGAGCCGTCATGTCGTCCTACAGGTAACAAAGGAGCCGTCATGTCGTCCTACAGGTAACAAAGGAGCCGTCAATGCGTCCTACAAGTAACAAAGGGCCGTCATGTCGTCCTACAAGTAACAAAGGCCGTCTCGTCCTACAAGTAACAAAGGCCGTCATGTCGTCCAAGTAACAAAGTACAGGTAACAAAGGCCGTCAGTCCAACAGGTAACATCATGTCGTCCTACAAGTAACAAAGGAGCCGTCATGTCGTCCTACAGGTAACAAAGGAGCCGTCATGTCGTCCTACAGGTAACAAAGGAGCCGTCATGTCGTCCTACAGGTAACAAAGGAGCCGTCATGTCGTCCTACAAGTAACAAAGGAGCCGTCATGTCGTCCTACAGGTAACAAAGGAGCCGTCATGTCGTCCAACAGGTAACAACGGAGCCGTCATGTCGTCCTACAAGTAACAAAGGAGCCGTCATGTCGTCCTACAAGTAACAAAAGAGCCGTCATTTCAGCGACCTCTGATATAATGGTCTACCTACTCTCCTCGCTATAGTAGTCCCAGGTTCGATCCCCGGGCAAAGTGAATTTAACGACTAGTTTCTTTACATCTGTGTACCTAAAAGCATTTGATGGATCGTTAGCCAGAGCAGTTGAAGAGTTGTACGGCTCTTCTTAAGTTATTCCTTGACACTGGGTCATATAGGTCGTTAACTCAGGATGCGGTTGTTGTGTTGGCAACAGTTCTACACCTCTAAGGGTCGCAGCCACACGAGCGTATATTTTGTCGCCAACATGTGACCGACAAGACGGAGTGAGAGACAGGGTGCGGCTGCGTCCACTAGATCGGCGATTCTTCTTGTTGATCACATGTTGGCGGCAAAATGTACGCTGGTGTGGCCGCTCCCTAACACGAGGTGCAGACATTATAAACAACGAGCCCCACGGTGTCCGCCTTATGTTACCAACGGGCCCCGTGATGTCCGCCTTTCGTTACCAACGGGCCCACGATGTCTGCCTATCGTGAACAACGGGTCCACGATGTCCGCCTTATGTTACCAACGGGCCCCGTGATGTCCGCCTTTCGTTACCAACGGGCCCACGATGTCCGCCTATCGTGAACAACGGGTCCACGATGTCCGCCTTATGTTACCAACGGGCCCACGATGTCTGCTTACCGTTAACAGCGAAGCACGATGTCCGCCTATCGTTAACAACGGGCCCCGATGCCGCCTATCCACCAACGGGCCCAGTGATGTCCGCCTATCGTTAACAACAGCCCCACGATGTCCACCTATCGTTACCAACGGGCCCCACGATGTCCGCCTATCGTTACCAACGGGCCCACGATGTCCCTATCGTTACCGTGCCAACGATGTCCGCCTATCGTTAACAACAGCCCCACGATGTCCACCTATTGTTACCAACGGGCCCCGATGTCCGCCTATCGTTACCAACAGGCCCCACGATGTCCGCCTATCGTTACCGTGCCAACGATGTCCGCCTATCGTTACCAACGGGCCCCGATGTCCACCTATCGTTACCAATGGGCCCCACGATGTCCACCTATCGTTACCGTGCCAACGATGTCCGCCTATCCTTACCAAGGGCCCCGATGTCCGCCTATCGTTACCAACGGGCCCCACGATGTCACCTATCGTTACCGTGCCAACGATGTCCGCCTATCGTTACCAACGGGCCCCACGATGTCCGCCTATCGTTACCGTGCCAACGATGTCGCCTATCGTGTCCACCTATCGTTACCGTGCCAACGATGTCCGCCTATCGTTACCAACGGGCCCCGATGTCCGCCTATCGTTACCGTGCCAACGATGTCCGCCTATCCTTACCAGTGTCCGCCTATCGTTACCAACGGGCCCCACGATGTCCACCTATCGTTACCGTGCCAACGATGTCCGCCTATCGTTACCAACGGGCCCACGATGTCACCTATCGTTACCGTGCCAGCGATGTCCGCCTATCGTTACCAACGGGCCCCACGATGTCCGCCTATCGTTACCGTGCCAACGATGTCCGCCTATCGTTACCAACGGGCCCCACGATGTCCGCCTATCGTTAACAACAGCCCCACGATGTCCGCCTATCGTTACCAACGGGCCCCACGATGCCCGCCTATCCTTACCAACGGGCCCCGTGATGTCCGCCTATCCTTACCAACGGAGTTAACATCTCGCCTTGTAGAGGGTGTTATCCAGTGTGATACTACCAAACATCACAGGTTTTGTACTGCACTGTACTTTACTGTACTGTACTGCACTGCACTGCACTGCACTACACTGCACTGTACTGTACTGTACTGTACTGTACTGTACTTGACAACGAGGATCACAACGCAACAGAGAACAGAACAACCGGCCGGAACGACAAGTAAACTGATAACTGGTAAACTAATAAATTAAAATTTAAAACTGAACCACCATGTTGCCGCCCCATCGCTAACAACTGAGGCATAGCGTCACTTTACCGCTGAAAGCGAAGCAACAAGTTCGGTAACAACGGAGCGCGATGCTGTCCTGCTGGGAAGACGGGCACCATAATGTACCGTAGGTGACCATACGGCGCGCGGTACAGGAGGTTCGGGGACGTACGTATGGTCTATGTGAGGTTCGGGGACGTACGTATGGTCTATGTGAGGTTCGGGGTGCAGGTCGTGATGCCTCCTAACCTAACTTACCTCTTGGCTATGGCTGCTGGTGACTGCAAAAAAATATCTCCAAGTTTCCCCTGTAAGTGAAGGACGCAGCGCTCACTGCCTCCCCTCAACACCTTAGACGTTCACAAATAGGGTGGTGGACGAGTGGAACAAGCTTAGCAACTTTGTAATAAGTGCTGGAACGCTGGAAAGTTTTAAAAGGAGGCTAGATAGATTCATGGATGATAGAGAGTGGTAGTAACTCTCGACAGGAGCTGCCATGCACAGACCAACCGGCCTATTGCAGACTCCTTATTTTCTTATGTTCTTACGTCCACAGTAGCGAACATTACAACACTCATTATATAATATCCCAACCAGGAATACATCACAACAAACTTACATAGTCCAAGTGATTACGTTGTTACTGATAGAATTTTTTTACAATGTTTCTGTTGGATTCAGTTGAGGATTTGCTTAGTGCACTGGTGGCCGCCGCGTCTTACAACATGTCCTTCCCACGACCACTATAACGCCATGGCCTCTGTAACACAAGAGCTCACACTATGGCTCGAGATCGACCCCACATATGGTAATCATTGTCCTGTCTCTACGGTTTATCTTTCACCAATAATATCTAACCAGCGTCTAAGGAGTAACTAGGAATAGCACCAGTACTGTGTGACTCCTACTCATACCATACAATGAAGCGATAGCACCAGCAGCAGCACACACACACGCACGCACACACACACACACACCTCCAAGACATCGATGAATGACTCAAGACACCCGAGAAGACCAACAGAGCAACATAAGACACGGTAGCAACCCCCCACGCCTTTCCACCACCACCCCTGTCTCCCACCTCCACCCACCCTTCCACCGCCACCCACCACCCCGCCCTTCCCCCACCCCGCACCACAATCCACGCTTGCGGGTGGGTGGTGAGGGAGGTAGAAGGAAATGGTAAATGGGTGAGGAAGTCGGTGGGAGTGTGGTGGGGATGGATGAGAGGAGTGTGTGAGTGATGGGCGTTGTCTGATGGGTGATATATGCAGTGGGCGTCGAGGTGTGAGGAGGTGGTGGGGGAGTGAGGTGAGGTGGTGGGAGAGTGAGGGGTGGTGGGAGAGTGAGGAGGTGGGGTAGTGAGGGGGGGAGGAGGTGGTGGGAGGTGAGGTGGTGGGGGAGTGAGAGGTGGTGGGAGGAGGGTGGTGGGGGAGTGAGGTGGTGGGGTAGTGAGGTGGTGGGGGTGAGGTGGTGGGAGTGAGGGTGGTGGGGGAGTGAGGGTGGTGGGGGTGAGGGGTGGTGGGGGTGGTGGGGGTGGTGGGGTGGTGGGGAGTGGGGAGGTGGTGGGGGTGAGGGGTGGTGGGTGGGGGGTGGTGGAGGTGGGGGTGCCGGTGGTGTGGGGTGCCGGTGGTGTGGGGTGCCGGGTATGGGGTGCCAGGGGTGTGGGGTGCTTGGGGAAGTGAGAGTTAAGTGTTGGTAGGTGAGGGGTGCCTGGAAGTAGGTGACCCCTGCCTATGAGAAGGTGGAGGGTGCCAGCTGAGACAGTTCTGGACTTGGCTTGTATTCACCGAAAGCAAACATCCCTAAAGGAGTGCATGTGGACCAAGGAGCGGTAATGAACGTAAGGAAAAACGAAAAAAAAAAGCGAGAAAGGGCGGAAAGAAGAAAACCTAGAGAGGGGGAGATGAAAATATTAGAAGTAAAAAGAAAGTTAAAAACCAAGGAAAAAAAACTAATCAACGGAAGTATGTTGATGAATAGAGGGAGAAGGGGAGACTGTAGTGAAGGATGTAGGAAGCAGGATGGAGGAAGGGGGAAGAGGGGGGTAACAGAGGAAAGTGTACAGAGGGAGGGTAGAGGAGAATGGGGGAGGAGGAAGGAAGATATTGGGGAGAAGGAGGGAGATATTGGGGAGGAGAATGGGGGAGACACTGGGGAGAAGGAGGGAGAGAAGGAGGGAAGCCTCGCCATCTGTAACTGGTACTCTAACTTACTGTGGCTTGTGATGTAGTGTCATGATAACAATTAAACTACAATACTACTACTACACACACATTAACAACAACAATAACAGGATATATTAATGATACAAACAACTTACCGACAATAATAACAATGATAACAAAAGCTCTACAATACATTACAGCATTACACTAAGCGTTATAACAGCATCATCATCATCAATCAACACTTCACTGTAATTAACCATAATCAACACTCATTAGCAACTCAATATTAACTCGAAACCAAAACTACAACAGTGACAGTGTCTTGATCAAATCCCAAAATTAAAAAATCCCTACTGGCACCCCACACACACACACAAAAAAAAATACTGATTAATAGCTAAAAAAAATAGTATCGGTAACCCACCATAAAAAACTGATTAATAGTATAATAAAAACACTAGTAAACTTGCCCCTCCCCCAACCCCTCTACAAATAAAAAAAAATTAATTAATAGCAAAAAAAATGGTCCATGAAACAGTAAGAACAACAATATTTACTAAAATCTGGATAAAAAAAGTGTAAAAAAAAAGTGATATACCAGCATGAACGCGGAATATTATAGAAGTTAGGTAGAAGGCATGCAGATGTGTGTGTGTGTGTGTGTTGATCTCCAGCTGGAACATCAGTTGGCGATAAAAACACGCCACTGAACTCATTCTATATAAGTAGATTAGTAATGGCAGCGTAATCTGTATTTATATGCCGGACTATCATGTCGCCTCGAGAGCAAAGCTTCCCTAATTACATGCAAATGGGCGAGGCTGGGTTAATTATTGTAGGAAACACCAGCACGGTATTGTACCTGTTATGGCTTTTATCTCTCTTCCCTTTTTTGTACTTGTTTGTGGGTAAAGCTAAGCAGCCCGCTGATCTTGACCACTACCTTTTACAGCTGTATGTGTGCGTGTGTATGAGTGTATTTTTGAGAGTTTATACCAGGTATGTATATAAACCATACTCCATATACTGGTGAAACAATAACACAACACAATAACATAACACAGGCGTCACAAACATACAGTTCAAAATTTAGATTACAAAAAAAAATACAATAACAAAAATGATTGTTTTAAATTAATTTCGCTCTCCTGAATTAGATCACTTATGAAAAGTACACGAAGAAAAAAATCCTTCCACCTTGAAAAATAAAATAAAAGAGGAAAACTGATACAAAGACACACTGTATGTATACATTCACTTGTGTCTAAGGAATACAGCCCAGTAGATAAACCAATTAACAAACAACTTATCCACAACCACATAGAAAGGAAAAAAAAACATCAACAACAGCATCACAACTTACCACTCGGCCAATGGTCACTAGAGTACTTACTGGTGATGACATTATCGTTGCAACACGTATGGAGACTCAAACATGTGATAAAACAAAGAGAGAGAGAAGTAAGCACACCGGGTAAGACCTCTCACTAACCATGTGTAGTGCAGGATCCGGACTCAGATGGCATGCCACCCTAGCCGTGCATAGTGGCATCAGAGGTGCATCTTGTACAGCCGACACGATCTGTCTGTCAGGAGGGGGTGGGGGAGGTAGTCACTACCCCACACTCATCATGTCTTCTGCCAAGTGTTTACTTTCGTACACTCATGACGGTAAAAGAGTCTGAGCATGTCCTCTCTATTGGTGGTGGGCGTCAGTGTGCACCTCGGGCGGTGTAGCCTCCCTCCATATCTTGGTAGTGGGTCGTGGGGGAGGATGGGCGGCCACTTAAGGAGCACTTTGTGACGCTAATCCTGTAATGCTTCTACTTCCCCGGGGACACTCACTGTCTCACCGCCCAACAAACTTAAATCAACGACAGACTTGAAAGACTTGTTTTCGGCAATCGACTTAAAATTATCATCACGTTTATCGGGGGAGAGGTGTGAGCAGCGTCACTGGGAAACAGCACTTTTTCTTATCTAAACCACCTTATCTCCACGCCAACTGCACGATCACTCCAATAACACTTTTTTTAAAAATTCGCCGAACTGGGTGTAAGTAAATGTAGTTCCTCTTTCCTCATTTAAGATTATACCAAGTTTCACGTCTGGCTGTCAGTTACGACTCACTTGTGGTCCTCTGCGTCTTACCCGGCCAGGACAAGTTAGTGTGAGCGTCATACAACACTCAGTAAACAATGTTGGCACACCTCACTGTCAGTGTCCTAGGAGTGGCACCACACATGACCATCACCCGGCACGTTAATATGTCACGTATGAGGAGCAGGTCGGTGAGGCGAGTCGCCTGACCTGCCTACTTTCACGCCGCCGCCGTCCCGGGAAGGCGGTCAACACAGACGGTTGGCACTGTTGGGTTATGGGGGAGGAGGTGCGATGTGGCACCGGGCAGTGACACCCCGGGGGGATGAAGTGACACCTTCACTACTGAGGGAGGAAAGTTGTGGTAGGAAGATCGCCGAATTTGTGCCTGCTGGCCGGGACCTCCTGCCTCCCACTGTTCGGGTGAGGCAACCGCTGACACCACTCTACGATACCTCTGTGTGTACCTCCTGTCT